AGCTTCTTAGCACAGGGGTCTTGCACCCCCACCTGGCTGCTGGGACCCCCTGAAAAGTACAGACTCATGCATTTGGGAGTGCCTTAAAATGCAGAATTGTCACTCCACAGAGAGATTAAAGAAAGGGTTAAAAAAGCAGGATATGAAACTTCCCTGAGGCTCAGGCCCTGGGGCAGCTGGTCACTGGCTTTGCTGCTGCAGTGCTGGGCTCTGTCCCAGCACCTTGGGACCATCTCAGAGCTGGCCACCCCAGGCATCTCAACCCCAACAGGTAGCAGACCTGGTCTGTTCAGCCCAGGTACCTGTTTGCCTTTCACCAACACTAGGGGAAAAAAAAATTAAAAATACTTTAGATAGAAATTAATGGTTTCTTTTTTTAAACAGAGTTGTGACATGGAGAGGAGGAATGATCCATTCACAAAGTGAACTTCTCAGGTCCCAGGAGAAGGCCTGATAAACCCAAAATGCTCCAGCCCCTACCAATGGCACAGCTGGGAGGGAGGAGGGACGAGCAGAGAGAGAATCATGGACTCATAGAATGGTTTGTGTTGGAAGGGAGACCTTTAAACTTGAGTCCAACCCCTCTGCAGTGAGCAGGAACATCTTCAGCATCTCTCCTCTTCCTGTACCCAACAGTTAAGACATCCCCAAATCCAGATATGCCATTTTCAGACCCACCCAGGAAAGCACTTTGGGTCCCACCTAAGCCACTGCAGCACGCCCAGGTGAGACCAGAGGTGAGCTGGGTGTCCTCCACCCATGTCCACAGCTGGGCCCAGCTGCCTTGGCTTGGACCCACCGTGGCCTGCCCACCACCCCCAGGAACCTGAGCTGTGGAGGGACTCACATGGCTGGGATTCACAGCCCCTTTTTACCCCAAGGGCTGGAAAACGAACCCAACGCCTTCAGCACGAGCGGGCGCTTCGTGAACGGGTCGCCCTGATGAGACTCGAACGGCCAGCTGAGGATGGGGGGGCTGGTTGCTGCCTGTAGCTGGCAGATCTGGGGGGACACTGACCTTGTGCAAGCAGAGGTGGCCGACCGGTCTCCCCCGGGGCGCTGGGGGAGGCTGACGAAACCCCCCAAGGCAGGGAGGCGGTAGCTGCTGGCGCGATAGGGGAGCAAACATTGCAGGCTCCGCAGCAGGCCCATGCTCCCTTTGAAGATGCTGCCAGGGTCAAGGGTAGCCCAGGGCTGGTGGCCAGAGGGACTTTGGGAGGCAGAGCAGGTTACCTGGGCTGCACAGAAGGGCAGTTTAGGAAAGCAAATGAATACCTAGAAACGTGCGGAGGCTCACGCGGAGGGGTGTGCGTGGGGAGAAGCTCCCTCCCCATGCAGCTCAGCTGCAATATTCACCCCTGATACATTTCGGGGAAGAGGGGCCCTGAGAACACAGCAGACAGAAAAGCAGCCCCCCCCCACACACCCCCATGATGGTGCAACACCATCCCAACCCCCAGGTTGGCTGCTCTCACCTCTCTCTCCATTCCTTTTCACAACCACCTTCGTGCCAGCCACCCCATGCCCACCTTGGCACCCCTCTCGGGCAAACCGTGAGCATTGCTTTGCCCTTCCCCAGCTCCCCCCCAACACCCAGGGGGGCTCCTTGCAGCAAGGGGGGGTTTCCCCAGCACCAGCTCAGGGCAGCAACCCCAGCAGGCAGCACTCACCTCCCGCCGCCTCTGCCCCAGACCTTGCACGGAGGGCCAAGCGCCTTCAGCTGAGCTGGGGCCACCGCCGAGGGGCACGTGCTCGCCTTCAAAAGCCACCCGGGGAAGCTGGAAGATGAGAACGTCAGGGGCAGGCAGGGATTTGAGACCTAGAAATTGCTTGGCTCAGTTTGCTCTGTACAAGGGTGGAGAATATCCCCGGGAACGCTCGGCGCATGCCTCTCCCTGCGGTTGGAAGTCGGGCACAGTGTGCATTGGCAGGATTGGGTTTATTATTATTATTTTTGTGTGTGTGTGTCTTTTTTTATTAGCAACGTGCGTGCTGCTAAATGCACTCCCAGCTGGGTCAGGGCTGTGTTAGCTGTGGCTGGCAGATTAATTTCAGCTCCATAACACACACTCCAAGGCTCCGTAAGCGAGAGTCGCAGAAATCCCCAAAGGGCTGTTGTCCCGTCTCCTTTCCCTGTGGCTGAGTTAGGTCCCTGTCCTGCTGTGACAAACACTTAACCAGGACTGGTGAAGTCAACACACCCGGCCACACGTCTAAGGTTACATGAGCCATTTTGCTTGGGCTGGAGAAGAGGCAAGTGACTGCCGAGCTGGCTGCAGGGGCTGTCAGGTGTAAGGGGTCAGAGCCCAGCCTCCACCATCCATCCCCAGCAAGGAAACCCCTGACAGATGGCAATAGGCTCAAGGAATACCCCTAATCAATGTCAGGAAATAGCAGGGATGTCCTCACTGAAGTGGGGCCACCGCCGAGGGGCACGTGCTCGCCTTCAAAAGCCACCCGGGGAAGCTGGAAGATGAGAACGTCAGGGGCAGGCAGGGATTTGAGACCTAGAAATTGCTTGGCTCAGTTTGCTCTGTACAAGGGTGGAGAATATCCCCGGGAACGCTCGGCGCATGCCTCTCCCTGCGGTTGGAAGTCGGGCACAGTGTGCATTGGCAGGATTGGGTTTATTATTATTATTTTTGTGTGTGTGTGTCTTTTTTTATTAGCAACGTGCGTGCTGCTAAATGCACTCCCAGCTGGGTCAGGGCTGTGTTAGCTGTGGCTGGCAGATTAATTTCAGCTCCATAACACACACTCCAAGGCTCCGTAAGCGAGAGTCGCAGAAATCCCCAAAGGGCTGTTGTCCCGTCTCCTTTCCCTGTGGCTGAGTTAGGTCCCTGTCCTGCTGTGACAAACACTTAACCAGGACTGGTGAAGTCAACACACCCGGCCACACGTCTAAGGTTACATGAGCCATTTTGCTTGGGCTGGAGAAGAGGCAAGTGACTGCCGAGCTGGCTGCAGGGGCTGTCAGGTGTAAGGGGTCAGAGCCCAGCCTCCACCATCCATCCCCAGCAAGGAAACCCCTGACAGATGGCAATAGGCTCAAGGAATACCCCTAATCAATGTCAGGAAATAGCAGGGATGTCCTCACTGAAGTCCTATGCACCCAGGAGACAGAGCATAAAAATCACATTCAATAATCCTCACATATTCAAAAAAGGAATTAATATTTAAAGCTGAACTGCCATACCCAAGACCTCAGACAATCCCATTTTCAAAAAGATCCAACCTATTGCTGAGGCAGTCTTTGAGGTGTCCTAAACTATTTCTGTGGCAACAGGCTAGGGCAGTATGTGGGGAAACCCAGTCTTGCCCCAAAAGCTCCTTCTGAGGGCAGGTTTGTGCAGCAAGGTGCTTCCACCCCTCCCTCCTGCTGGAGTTTCCCAGCTTGCAGGGGCCATAGACCATCACCTGAGAGCAAAAGGAACACCAAGGTGTTTGGGGCTGCCATGAGCCAGTGGGTACCTACTGCAGCTGGGAGGGTGGGTAAACCTCACCCTCTCCATGGCACCAAAATGGGCAGGTTGTGCTGCCAGAGGAGGCAGCCAGTGGCCGAGCCTGACCCGGCAGGCAGGCAGCCTTGGACTTTGCCACTGCAGTGAGCCCTGCCAGGTTATGTTGGGCAAGGAGAAGAAACCCACCTCAGAAGAGCCAGGCTCTGTTGGAGGCAGCCTCAGGTCTGCTCCTCGTGCTGGGGGGACCTGAGTAATTTTGGCTGGGACAGAGGGGGAGCGAAGCCTCTCTGACGTGTTTGGTGTTGCAACCCTGCTCTTATCTTTGTACAAAGAGTCTGGCCACTTTGTGCTCCTCTCTGAGCCCCCTTCTAAATATGGGGTGTGCTTATGCATCCTTCTATGTTTTTAAAGCCTTTTTTTTTTCCCCCCTCAATAGCCACAGAGCTCACCTGAGCTCCTCTTGCAAGGAGCTGTTGTGGCAGGCCCTGCCTGTGCATGCACCGAGCAAACCCTGGGAAGCTGCAGCCAGGCTGAGCAGGGCTCCCCTGCCAAACCTCTCAGGGTCTCCTCTTGGGGACAGACTCCACGAAAATGGCACTGTGCCCTCTCACAGTGACTGTGTTGGCCTGTTCCTGCCCACAACCTTGGTCCTTCCCTGGCAGAAACTGGCACAGTCCCACTGAGGTCAGCCCAGAGTCAGAAGGGGCACCAGAAGAGCTACATCAGCCTGTGAGGACCTCACTGGGCTCAGTTACCAACTGCAAAATACATTCTTTTAACAGTTGCAACCTTTCCCTGAGGTCTTCTGAGCCTTTCATGGGTGAGACAGCCAACACACCAGCTCGTCCCTAACTCCTCCTCTTGCCCCTCGGACTCTGCAGCACAAATGCTTAAGGATTTGGGATCAGAGTCTCTCCTTCCCAGGGGACATGGGCTGTTGTGCACAGACAGTTCAGCTGCTGCTGGAGCTCCTGCTCCCATTCCTGATGTGACAGCGCCACCTCCTGAGGTGTCCCCGCTCCCGGGCACCCCCGCTGGGTGCAGGCACCCGTCCTGCCCACCCCTGCCCCCCATCACCTCTGGAAAGCTCAGGGTTTCTTAGGAACATCAAGTTGGCAGAATCCATCCTACACCCACACACACCCACCACCCCAGGCAAGCACAGAAGAGATGTCCAGCACAGGAGAGACCACAAAAACCTCTGCTCCACCCTATCCACAGGCCACCAAACCCTTGTTCTGTTCCCAGACAGCCCTAGCAAGGCATCCTGTGAGATGCCCAGCACTACCTGAGCAGACATGCTGCCAGCCGAGGTTCTACCAGGAGCTGAAGGCAGGAAGTTTGCCCGGGTGGGGAGAGGGGAAGGACTTTGTTTCAGAGCTGCCCGAGTGGGGATTGAGAAAAAAAAAGTCATGCTGCCCTGCAGGGCAGCAAAGAGGGAGGTGCTGAGAGCCCTGTGGGTCCCCAAGAGCCCTGCAGCCCCCAGGGTATGTCACAAGAGGTGTGGCACTCCAGAACACACCCCTTGGACAATGCAGCATGACGGCCACCGGTGAGTTACCTTTGCTGCCCCTCTAAGAACACCCCAAAGGGGACACTTGGGGGGGAAAAAGCAGCCTTAGGCTTCTGAAACATGGGTTCAACCTGTGGCACACCAGTGCCTTCACGCAAATGGACGTTGCCAAGGGCATCCAGCCCACCCCCTTGCATCCAGATCTTCCAGACATTCATAGAAGTTCACGGGATAGTGCAAGGTGTTGAGCACAAGCCTGGGTGTCCTGAGTGGGTGGGGTGGGGGCCTGCAGTGACTGTCCCTCTACCCAGAGCAAAACCTGCTCCCAGCCTGACAGTACCTGCAAATTTGGGGCAATTTGCTACCAGAATCTTAGCAAGAGGACTCAGAGGCCATCAGGCTAGTGGGGCTGGAGCGGTGGCACTGAAGCACAGCACAGGGTTCCTGCAGGATTATGCTCTCCACGTGGATGCCACCACATTTGTGCCCAGCCTCCTCAAACCATGTACCTTTGTACCACCCACCTTCCTATTTAGGAAGCTGCCCTTCAAACTTTGCAGCCTCTGCATGAAGTGGAACCTGATGCTTTCCAAACACCACCCGCCCAGAGCACATGAGTGGACTGGGCACCCAAATTTCATGGACTGTCCCAGGTCCACATTCTCCCATGTCTGCACAGGACAAGCATGCTGAGAGCTGTCCCTCTCAAAACTCATCCTCTTGTTCACATTTATACCACAGTGAGCTGCACAAAGCCCAGGTAACTTTCTCTTCTTCCCCTTGCAGCAACCATTGCCTCCACAGAAATGGGTCTTCTCCTGAGAGATGATGTTTTTGTTGACTTTTTCAACACGTTTCTGAGTCTTCCTGTAAGTCCACTCTGCACCACAAAGCCTGGGACCTTTCTCAGATCTCCTCAAATGAACTTTCAGCCTCTGTGGCCCCAGGAAAACTGGGAATACACCACACTCAGGTTGGAAAAATGAGGGAAACCTGACGACCTCAGCTTGGAGATAGAGGTCTTAAAGGGAAGACCTTCACCATAGTGAGGACTAACTAGAACAGCTGGGTTCTGGGCTCCACTGCCACTCTCCACCTCTTTCACCTCTCTCCTTTCCTTTCAATACAGGTTTTTGGCCAGACACCCTTTTACATCAGAGGCATGGGCCAGTGGAACCTCTGGCCAGAGCTGCCCAGCTGCCTGGTGAGAAAATGCCTCTTTCAAGAAGGGGAAGGAAGGAGGAAGGGCAGCAGGCAGGACAGGGAAGGAACTGGTTTCTTTTTGCTAAGGCCACCCTCTGGCTGTCCTCTTTGTGCAGCCAGGGGATTATTTCATTTTGCTTTTAAGCCCTGGGAGGAGCACAAGCCATTTGAAGTCCTGGTGCAGCTTATGGGGTTTACCCAGCCCTCAGTAAACATCACTAGATGGAGTTAAGGGGAGCACTGGTAGTGGCAGGGAAGGAGGACACAAACATCAGCCCCTTGTGTCCTGCAGCCCCAAATTCACCAGGAGTGAAATCCTGTTGATCAGATCATCCAACAGGCTCAGCCCTCCCCACGGATGTCCCCCTTCCACACAGCTCAAATCCCAAAGCAAGACACCCTGCTCCTCTCACTACAAGCTGCCATGCCTTCCTACTGCTGCTCCAGGAAAGCAGGCAGGCTGTGAGGAGAAGCAGGTCTCCCAGGATTACAGGCAGAGCTCAGGGAGACAAGGGAAGGGGCTGTGGCTCCAGTCTCCCCCTTCTTTCTCAGCACAGGAATGGCTGGCATTGCTATCCAGCAACAGGGCATCATCCCCTGCCTCCTTCCCCCATAGCAGAGCCCGTTACTCACCCTAATCCCTGGCGAGAGACGGCTCCTTGCTCACAGCCTGATCATCCTCTCCCTCCCTGGGCTGGATTCCAGGATTCCAGCCCCACAGCTCTCCTGGCGTGGCTGGAAAAGCACCGCCTGCCACACTTCTGCAAATCCAGCCTGTGCCTCCACCTCGTCCTCTGCCAGAAGCTCCTGGGTTTCATTCGGTCGGGGGAAGCAGGTGAGTCATCCCAGCAGGGAGGAAATCCGAGCAGCTTTGCTGCCACCGCTGCCACCGCAGGGCTTCCTCTGGGTGGGCTGGCACTGCCTGGTGCCTTCCCAGCCCGTTCTGCCTCTTGCTCCGAGCTCAAAAGGCATTGCACATCCCGTTTTTAGGGGTGCAGCAGATCCCACGGGATGAGCGGGGCTTCACCCCACAGCCCCACAGGTTTGTTGCCTCCATGCAGTTGAGCTGAAATAGCTGCTTAGCAGTGTTTTCCATGCCTTGCAGGGCTGGAGAGCACTGGAAAGTGGGGTCCTGATGTTTCAGGTTTGCTGCTGTGCAGGGTGCTCTGAGCTCTTCCACTGTATTGCAATATACTGCTCGTCTAATGCATCCTCACTGGGAAAACAGGCCTATACTGGGTGCTGTCCTGTGAGCAGCAAGTCTGGCTTGTGCTCATTTTACCCCTAAAATGAGCCTTCTCAGCCCAGCGGGCTGCTTTGTCCACCTGGGTGTGAACATGAGGGGAGGCCACTGCAAAAGAGAGCTCTGGCAGCAGGGATGCTGGTTTTCATTTCAGAAAAATGAGCATTTTGTCAGGGATTGCTCCGAGGCCATTTCTGAATGCATCGCTGCTCCTTCTCCAGTTGGGTTGAACCTCAAGCTGAAGGAGGCACCAGCACTGGCAAAAAAAAAAGCTGGAGGTTTGCAAGGGGAAGAGGCAGGATAGCTGGGCAGGTTGTCAGGAACATGAATGGGTTGCATCCTTGCAAACATCATCCCACAATCCTGACCAAAACTCCCAAAACTCTGCCTGGTCTCCTGGCTTGCAGCACTGTTGTCCTCCAGCAGGAAGGCTGGGGCAGGGGGGGTGCTGGAGGGCTTCCCTGGGGAATATTCCTGCCCACCCCACCCTGATGCTGTGCTCTCTGCTCCCTCTGACAGCAAAGCTGCTGAACTGGCAGAGCGCTGACCGGTGGCTGCTGGAGAAGTGCATCAGTGGGAGCCACGGCATGTGGCGCTTCCGGGCCTTCGTCCAAGGCATGGCAGGTGGGCATGGGGCAATCTGGAGGAGACACTGCCATCCCAGAGGTGGCTTCGGAAGCTCAGCCAGCAGCAGAGCCCCAGAATGGGTGCTGCACAGAATCACAGAACCCCAGGGGTTGGAAGGGACCTGGAAAGCTCCCCCAGCCCAACCCCCCTGCCAGAGCAGGGGCACCCAGAGCACATCACACAGGAACGTGGCCAGGGGGGTTGGAATGTCTCCAGAGAAGGAGACTCCACAGCCTCTCTGGGCAGCCTGGCCCAGGGCTCTGGCACTCTCACAGCAAACAAGTTCTTCCTGAGATTCCCATGGAACCTCCTGGGCTCCAGTTTGCACCCAGTGCCCCTTGTCCTGTCACTGGACATCCCTGCACAAAGCCTGGCTCTGTCCTCCTGACACTGCCCTGAACAGATCTGTAACCAGGGATGAGGTGGCCCCTCAGTCTCCTCTTCTCCAAGCCCAACAGACCCAGCTCCCTCAGCCTTTCCTCACCAGGGAGATGTTCCCCTCCTCCACAGCTGTGGCTCTTCTTTAAGACTTCCCTCGGTTCATCCAGGCTGCTCTGCTCACCAGCGGGGCTCTCAGGGACACCCTCCAACTCCCATCCCTTCTCTTGATCCATAGGAGAAGAACTGACAGACTTCTGGCTCACCACTGAAAGGCTCCTGGGGCTCAACGAGTCAGATGCAAGGCAAAGGGAGCTCTACCTGTCCTTGGTCCACAAGCTCAAAGCCACTCACCTGCGTGAAGGCTCCAGCGTTGCCACCCTCTGCAGGACCCCCGCTGGTAAGAAGCATGGAAGCTGGGGATGAGCAGTGCTCTTCCAGCGAGGTGGATTTTTCTGGGTGCTCCCAGGAAGATGGGATACCATCACCATCTTTGCTTGCCTGGCACAAACAGGTCTGGATGGAGCCAGTGTTCTCTCCCCCCAAATCATAACCCCCTGCGTCCATTTCAGGGCGGCGGCGAAAGTCCAGGCACATTCAACCCATCAGCGCCAGGAGGGAGATGCTAAGCAAGATGCAGGAAAAGGCCTTGTTTATGATTCAGAGTTACTGGCTCCCTAAATTTTACATCCACTGCAAGTTGGGCATGGAAGAAGAGAAATCATGCCAGCCTCTGCTGCAGGAATATCGGGAACGTTTATTACAGGACAACCTGCAGGAGCCCTTAGACTTTTCAGAGAACCTCTTGGCAATGCATATTCAAAAGAATCAGGGTTTGCCAGGGCCCTACTGCAGCCTAAAGGCCAAAGAGAAGATCTGGAGTGTGGTCAAGCCCAGAAGAGATAGCCAAGACCTGGAGATGCCCAGTTTTCCAGTGCAATCAGAAGGGCAGGTGCGGCCAGCTGGGAGCACCAAGGGCAAGAACGTTTTGGGATCGGTTCCTCAGCAGTCAGAGCATTCTGGAAACAAAAGCAAAGGACAAGAAACCTCCCCCGAAACACCTACACCCACGGCAGGGCAGGTCCATCACCTGGAAGACCTCTGTGAAGAGGAAGTCCTCTCTGACCTGTGCACCTCTGCATCTGGTGTCCAGCTGAAGAAGCCAGTCCAGACGTTGAGCTTCCTTCCCTGGGCCCTTAGTGCTGAGACCTGCGCGGGACGGCCCTTCAGGGACTTCTTGGAGTGCCACAACCTGTCTATGGAGGCCCATCTGCTGGACCTGTGGAATGACCTGGAGGAATTCCTGCCAGTGGTGCTGGATTCCAGCAGAGAAAACAATTTCTTCCTGCGTCATTTGATCGGGGAAAAGATATGCAAGACCTACCTGGAGGAGGACGCCATTCGGCAGCTTCCTCTGCAGACCAAGACTCTCAGGAGCTTGAGGATCCATCTGATGTCTGCAGAATTCTCCCCCTGGATATACACAGCCCAGAAGGAGATTTGCAAGGTAGAAAGCAGTGCTGGCAATGGTTCTGTGGGCATTGGCAACCCCGGGCTGGTGTGAGGGCTGTGGGCAGGTTTAAGAGAGCTGTTTGGAAAATGAAGATGATAAGATATTAGGAAGGGAAAAAACTTCCAGTCCTAAGCCAGCTTGCACTGGAACCACTGGACCAAGATGCACCAGGCCAGTGGAAAGAAGCATGGTCACTGGTTTGCTGGGTGGTGGAGCAGGGGTGACTAGTCATTTAGCAGCTACTGGCCCTGGTGGTTAGATGCACATGCAGGGCCAAGGGATGGCAGGGAAGTGGCCATCCTTCCACATCTGAGTCCCTCTGGGCATCCTCTGAGCAGCCCAATGGACCATCCTGGGTGTGTAGCTTCTGGCAGAGCTGTCCTGGGCTTCTCAGTGAGGTGTCACCTGCCCTGAGCAACCTCAGGGCATGGTGGGACTGGGGGGTGGTGGTTGCTGCTGGAGCACTTGCTGAAGACAACCCACCTTTGCTTCTCCTCAGGTGCTCTGCTGCGTGTACCAGGAGTTTCTGGCTGATGATGACAGGACATTCCTCCAGTTTATGGTAAAGGGGATGGACAGAGGACACGGGGTGGTGTGCAGGCACCAGTGGGGATGTGAAAAGTTGGGGAGAGAGAGGGAAGAGAAGCCCAGCCTTATCTGCAGTGGTCCAGCATCCCATGGTATACCCTGGCCAACGCTGCTGCAGGGCAATATAGCAGAGCCTGCCCTGCTCCAGCTGCCTGGAGCAATGATCCTCAGCTCTTGTACCACAGCATCCCATAAATCAGCAGTGCTTCAGACATGTCCTGCAAGAGCTTCCCTGAGATGGGCCACAACCTGGCCCAAAAACAGGGAGAAAGTTCAACACAGTTTTCCAGGGTCTGTGGGCGTGAGATCAGCAGGCAAAGTGCTGGGTAGTGGCCTTACAGTTGCCCACTTCTGGGAATTAGTTCTCCCCATTTTTTTTTCCTTGCCCACAGCAAATATTACTGTTGATGTGACTCACGTGCAGACACACACGTGTCTCTGCTCCAGCACCAGCAGCTGGTCACCACAAACCCTTTTAACCTATGATTCAACCACACTCAAGTTTTCCATGTGTTTTTTCCACTGTGTAAAGGGATGATTCAAGAAAGCAGAATCATATAAACTCTCATCTTCCTGGTCTATTATCCCTCCTGGCAGCAGAAATCCCACTAGTACCTCCTGTTTATCTACCCCCCAGATGCCAGCTTCACACCTTGAAACCTCCCCACAGACCAAACCCCCTGAGCATCCCACCTGCACTCCAGCCCAACCTCTGCAGGCAATTTTCCTCATTGCAGGCAAGGCTCTTCAAACCAGCCCTTAAGCTTTTCCCCAAACTGCCATGTACAATCAGCAGCTGATCCTGGAAGTGGTAAGGAGGGCTAGTGTCCCCAGGGACTTGGCTCACAGGGACTGCCAGCATCTCTGGAAAAGTCAGCTGCCAGCTCCTGAAATGCTCTTGGTTGTAAAGTAATTAGTTGCCTGGGTTCTTTAAGCATCTCTTTGTCAAGGAAATTACACCTCAGGCCCAGAGCTGGGCTGGCAGTGCAATTAGCAGCTCAGCAGGTGCTGAGGCTTTGCTCCCAGCAGGCACCATCCCCTGAGCCAGAGTCACCCCAGCTCTCCCTGCACCAATGCCAGGGGAAGTGTTTGGGGGCTTGGCAGGGTTATTTTCTGGAACTTGTTTTTAGAAACCAGCCACTGCTCTGGCTGCTTGGGGAGAGTCATGCAAGCTGCTGGTGGTGGGGAGAGCCAAAACTTGCAGGAGGGTCTCAGTGGGGGACGAGGGTGGCACACCTAGGGCACCTGGCACAGCCAGACCCGAGGACAGCAGCCACAACAACAGGCACACAAGGTCACCTGTCTGCCAAGGACCCCTTCAGGGTTGTTTTTGGCCCTCCTGAGTGCACTCTGACCTCTTCAGAAAGCTGCTGCCTTTGCAGGCAAGCTCTTTTCTGCCCTGCCTGGGGACCTGCTGTGCATCTCCAGCACGTCCCAGCTGCAGGCAGACGGGCACCAGCTCTGAGCAGCTGCACAAGTGGGCTGAAGGTCCATGCTGAGCTTCACGCTCACATCCATTTCTTCCAGGCAGTTTAAAGCTGAAGCAGAGTGGTGACTCGAGTAGGTTTGTACTCCCAGGCACAGCAGAAGGTGGGGCTAGCCTGTCAGACCCAGCGCAGGAGCAACTCCTCAGGTGGGGGATGTGCTCTGTGTGGTCACCCTCTGCTCTTCTCGCTGTAGTCTCTGCAGGGTGAGGTCCCCATGCTCAAGGTGCAAGGCCAAGCTGTTCAGAAACATGAATATTTCCTCCCCTCGCAGCGGATGAACGAGTTATTGGAGCTGAGCCAGGCCTTGCATGGCACGAGGAACTTTGAAAGTCTCTCCTCCAAGCACTGGAAGTTAATTGCCAAGCAGGACCTCTGGAGAGAAGACTTCATCCAGGCAGATGTGAAACATCTCCCAGGCAGCACTGGTAAGAGGAGGCTCTGAATTTCTGCTGTGGCTTATGTTGATAAAGCTTATTTTGTGCCCACGTGGTGCCCCTTGCCCCCAGCCCAGGGATGAATTCCTGCATTGCTGCCAGGGCATGGACATGATGGAACGGGCTGGGACTGAGCATCTGGGAGCCATGCACTGTCACCCAAACTTTGGCAGAGACTTATGGGCCAGATTCCCTCCTGCCAGTACCAAATGCCAGGGTCACCAGATCAAATGGCAGCTGCAGCAAAGTGACTGAAGTCCAAAGCCAGGGACTGCCACTGTCCCCCCTCTTCCACACCTTGACCTTCTCCTGTGGATGCAGGGACTGGTTATGCTGATGTTCCACCTCAGCTTTATCTTCTCTCATCATCTGTTGAGAATGACAACAAGTTTCTGGGCACCTGCTGGTGCCCTGAGTGGCAGCAGTCACCTGCAGCAACCCTTGGGTAGCTTGTGGGGCCTCAGCCACACCTCAGACAGGCAGTGTCCCAGGGAGGTCCTGGGAACAGGACAGAGAAGGGGAAAGGAAAGGTAACAATCACAATATGGCAAGTGCTGAAGGGCTGTTGCATGAACACAGGATCTGTGACCTCTTCTTTGTCTGATGCAGACTCCCAGAAGAGGCTGACAAGTAAGCTGGCTCTGAGTCACCAACACAAGAAAAATGAGCTTCTGGGTCTCAAAAGCCCAACGTTTGGTGAGTGCAGAGTGAGCAGGCTTGAAGCAGGGTGAGCTCCCAATCATCACACCCTTGCAGGTGCTCCAGCATTCCCTTAGGGGGCTGGACAAGCAGGGGTTTTCCCTGCTTGCATCCCATCACCTGGTAGAACACCTCCAGGAGGAGAGAGGGGCCACCCTAGAAAGGCAGGTGTTCTGGGTGTTAATCCAGCCTGAGAGGGTGGGAGTGGGAGGGCTTCTCTGAAACAGACACCAAGGTTGTCAAACCACACAGAGGTGAAGAGTTCCCACAGCAGCCAGTGTCTCCTGAGCCAGGCTCACCATGCAGACACCAGCATGGTGCTCCCTGCCTAGCAGACAGCTGAGAGTGGGCTCTGGCTGTCACCTGAGGAGGGGGCAAACCCTGTTCAGTCCCCACAGATTATAGACCCAGGAACAGAAGGAAGACTGTTGCTGAGCCAAAAACCCCATCAAGCCCCCCGAAGCCCACCACTGAAGAAGTAGAGAAGCCATCTAGAAGACCCAGGTACCTTGCAGCACAGGGTGGCCACTTCCACTCCTTCAAGAGGCGGGTTTCTCCCCGTGCTTCCCTGTAGGGCCACTGCTCCTTGCTTCAGCCTCTCAGGTGGAGGCAAGGGTGACCTGTGAGGCTCAAAAGAAGAGTTACCAGGAATAAAGAAAGATGATTTAACAATCCCATAGTTCAGATCTACTCCTTACTTCACCCTCAGTCACTCCCTGGCCTGTCACCTGTACTAAAGCTGGGCAGCTCTCAAATTCTCATAAAAGTAACTAAAAATCACCCTGTGACCACATGTAAATCTCTGTACTTGCTGACCATGTGAATGTCCATCTGACTCATGTCTCACCTCTTGGGAATACTCCAGATACGAGTCCTTACAGCTCCACACTGGGATGTAAATGGTAACCAGGCCACAAATCCTAGGTAGGAGCAGCTCTTACTGTTTATTGTGAAAGTCAGTCTCAGGAGCCACACTTAGACCAAGAACATATCTGACCCAGCCCACTGATCTTCAAATAAGGGTTTGGTAACCTCATAAGTGACCCCAAATCCCAGTCTAATCCCAGCTCTGGTTTTCAATCCCAAAGCTCTGCTGACTCTTTTCAAGTAGCTGTCCTCTGGCTTTACATCTATGGACAATCTCCTGATCTACCAATTGCAACTGGCAAGGGTTTTCCACTCCAGAACACCCTCTCCATGCCCAAGCCCATGAAGCCCTCCACCATCCAGTGGTAAAGTATTGGTTATTCTCAGCTAGTGCCAGAGGGGAGCACAACCTCATCCTCCCACCACTCCTTCCAGGTGCCACATCCTTACCTGCCTCCCTCCTCTGGTCTCTGCAGGGCTGCCCAATCCATTTGCAGATTCTTCACCCTCCATCACAGACCTTCTCCTTGGCTATTCCTTGGCTTCCTGGGTGAGGAATTCCACTTGGCTTCCTCCTCTTGAGGCTAAGACCAGTTCCTTTTGGACAGCAAAGCTGTCAGGCAGGTGTACCTAGGGCAGAAAAGAAACAGCTTGTCAAGAGGATCCTCCCCTGGATTCTTAATGGCTTGGTTTGATGATGATCCTAAAGGTTTTTTCCAGCCTGGACAATTCTGTGGGCAAAATGGACAAGGGAGGCTGTGCTCCACCAGTCCCATTCCTGGCCCATCTGCTTCACAGATCCCACTCATCCACATCTTCCTAGCTTTTCTTCAGGTGTCTCCCTCCTTGTTGGAGAAGCAAGCAGAGAGGTTCTGGCTGTTTTCCAGGTCACAGGTGGCACAGAGATGACATCTCTGGGTGTCGTTTCCTCTACAGGCACTTTGTGAAGGTCCTGCACAACCCTTCCCACCTGCAGTTCTTCCAGCAGTTCCTCAAGGAGCGCGACGCAGACGAACCGCTGCATTTCTGGGTGGAGGTGGAGAAGTTGGCCAAACAGACCAACCCCAAGTCCAAGAACTCCCACGTTGACAGCATTGTCAGGAAGTATTTCCATGCCAAAATCCCAGCTGGTAGGCACTCTCCCACCCTGCACTTGACTCCGTTCATGGGGAAAGCCTCCTTTCCCTGGATGCTGGTTGCACCTTTTCTATCCTCTTGCAGGAACTTGCCAATTCTCCCTCACCATCCAGAGGAGCATTTATTTCCTGAGGCCACTTATATTTGTAGGAAGGTGGTCTACTTCTTTGGCAGGGTCTACTGACCAATTCCTGCAGTGGCAGAAAAAGTTCCTCCCTGTCTTTGTCTCCTTTAGATACTCTAGGAGTCACAGGTTCCCTCCCCAGGTGTGCCACTAGCACAGGGTAGGAAGGGAAAGGGATGAGACAACCAAATCCTGCCAACAGCAGGCAGGGCAGGCAGAGGTGGAACAGGGGGCCACTTGCAGGTGTGAGGGTGGGAAGAGGTGGCCCAGTGGACAGGAGGTGGCTGGCAGGGGCAGGCAGTGATGGTATTTCTCTTCCAGAACAGCTGCTGGACTGCCAGTCTTCTATCATCAAAGAAATAAAGGAGGCCAAAATAGTCAGCCCCCTCATGCTGATGACAGCCCAGATCCTGGTCCAGAAAGAAATGGAAAAACGATGGTGAGGACCCAGGTCGAGCTGGTTCCTAAGCCTGGTGGTTACACAAACACATCCTTCCTGTGGGAACCCCAAGGTGACAGACAGCAACTGCTACAAACATGTTTCCCTGTGAACTATCAGCCAGTGCATTGAAATCCTGGCCCTGACCCTCACCCCAGCAAAGCTGCTGGTGCATTTACCTGTGCAAGGTCCCTGTGGGGACCAAATACCTGCTGGGCTGGCAGGGTGCTGGGCTGGAGGAGCAAACATGCTTCAGATAAGCAGGGTGGACACTCCCAAGCCTGCTCCATGGCAGAATAGAGCCCAGTGGAGGAGACACAGCCCTCTGCCCCTTCCTCCAACCTCCTTCAGTAGCAGAAGTCCCACGGGCCCCTAACCCCAGGGCTATCCCCAGCAGCTGCTCCCCCTACTTGGTCACCCTCCCACCAAACCACTGCCCTGCTCATGCATCTGGCTGCCCTTGATGCTCTCTCTGGTCTTCCATCTGGCAGGTTTAAAGAGTACCAGGACCTGTTCCCCCCTGGAGATACGAGCTCTAACCTCCTTTTGCGACGTGGGATGGGGCACTTCATGACAGGCAAGATGGTAAGGAAAGACCTTCTCCACTGGCAGGATGGGGATGTTGCCTGGGAAAGAGAGCAAAGAGATGCTGTGGATTAAGTGGTGCTCACCTCAGTGGGGTGAGAGGGTCAGATCTGGAGAGCTGCAAAAAGGCAACTGAAAGGTGAAGCCTGACTCCTCCAGGCTCTGGAGTCCTGCTCCATGCAGGTTCTACCAGGTTTGGTGAGGACTGGCCAAGCAATTCACACTATCACCTCTAGCCACCAGAGAAACCCAGAGATAGCAGAAAGCAAAGGTGATGGTAACGAGGCCACAAATCCTAGGTAGGAGCAGCTCTTACTGTTTATTGTGAAAGTCAGTCTCAGGAGCCACACTTAGACCAAGAACATATCTGACCCAGCCCACTGATCTTCAAATAAGGGTTTGGTAACCTCATAAGTGACCCCAAATCCCAGTCTAATCCCAGCTCTGGTTTTCAATCCCAAAGCTCTGCTGACTCTTTTCAAGTAGCTGTCCTCTGGCTTTACATCTATGGACAATCTCCTGATCTTCCAACTGCAAGTGGCAGTTTCCACTCCAGAACACCCTCTGGGGTCACAGATCCCACTACCAAGGCCGGGCTCTGAGTGGTGGGTCCAAACAGGAGGACTCTGGTAACACGTCCTATTGCTGCAGCCATGGGCTGATGCTGACTGTGCTGTGTCTCCCCAGCGGTGGGCCTGGTATGCCATTCAGGACATCATCAGGAGCATCTCCAAGTTCAGGAGGGAGATGGACAACCAGAAACGCCGGGTGGAGTTCGAGGACTTTCTCCGGCGGGAGCTACGAAATGAGGAGGAAAGTATGGCTAGAATCCTGCCATCCCCCCTCCTCAAGGCAGTCCTGGGTTTAGGCAGGGAAGTCAAGAGAGGAAACCTGGGGCTTGTGTTAGATGCCTCCAGCAGAGAAAACTAAGGAGCCAGGAACGTGGGTGTCTCAGGATGCCAGATACTTGCTGGGCAGAAATCTGCACACTGAAGTGCTGGGGCTGGTAGATGAGGTCCAGAATTTTGCACAGGCAAAATTGCACACGTGCAGATTCACACCATAGCTGGCTTTCTGATGTGGCTGCCCCATGGTGCTTCTGCATCCCAAACAATTACATACAGGCAAGCTCATATCCCTTTAAAAAAACCCAACAAACATCAAAAACCCCAAAATAAAACAAAAAAGCCACACCAAAAAACCCTCAAACAAATAAAAATGAAGCTAAGGTGGCACAGGCCAAAAATAAACAAATGGGGATGGTTTTCTGTGCAACAGGGACCTGACCTACTTTGCCAAAGGATGTAGATCCTGAAAGTTTAAAGCAGATCAAGAGGAGGAAGTTTAGAGCATCAAGATCCAGGTTCAAGAGGAGGCTGGAAAAGCTGTTAGGAAATTAATCCACTGAAATTGCTGAGTACACAGAACCTCCATCTAGATCAAGAAATTCCCACAAATGACAATATTTGGAAGCTGCAGAATGTTGTGTAATGGGGGAAGGGAGATGTTTTACCTTTCCTTCTCCCTAGTTACCTTCTTGTGTGCCCTTGTCAGAGATAGGATAATGCCTAGAGAGGTGGACTTTTGACCCACTGTGGCCATCCCCTATGAAAACATAAACATAGGTTCAAAGAGCAGGGTGGTTGGAGGAGGTTACTAAGCTAGGAGGAAGGCTGCCCATGGGATAGATCTGAATTCCCTGGAGAGCCTCCCTGCTGGAAACTTGTAGAAGGAGCTTCAGCAAATAACGTGCATGCAGGAAAAGGTGAAGGTGCAGGGTGTAGCTCAGCACCAGGTGCCCAGCTGGCCTGAAAGCCAGTGCTGGAAGAAGCAGGACACAACAGCTCTTCTCCTCTCTCAGACTTGCCTATCAGCTCGATGTGCAGGGACACAGCCTCTGCCAGCACCTCAGGAAACAAGGAGAAGGCGCTGGTGAAACGGCACCTGTTTAACAACCAGCTCATCATTGTCAACTTCCTCGTCAACGACCTCCACTTTTATCTGGAGATCGACAAGTAAGTTCCCTTTCCACCAGGTGCTCAGGTACTAACCAGTCTCCCATCCTCTGGGCAGTGCCCACCTCTCATGCAGGGGATAAAGCCTCGACCATGGATTCATGAGCACACACAGACTGAACTGACAGCCCCTCTGTGCAGGGCTGGACATCCTACTGCAGCAAAGGAGAGAACCAAAGCCTCCCCCTGCAGCCATCTACACCTGATCTGCTCATGGTTTCCTGCCTCTGGAGCCCCCTAAACCCTCCATATCAGCCAGAAAGAGTCCCCAGCTCAGGGTTCCTGTTTAGGTACCCTAGAAGTGCTTTTTGTTGAATAGCCCCAAGCAATTTAGCACGTTGCCCACACTTGTCTCAACACGCCAGCGTGGCATTTCTCTGTTGACTTTATCCTGTTCCCTGGCAAACCCATAAGATCAAAGCCACGGCCGATGCACAGCAGCCCCACAGACAGCACACCCTGAAATGTGCAAGACCAGATAGTAAAAGGAAGTGGCTGTTCATCCCACTGCCCCACTCCTTGTGGGTTCCTTTATCTGGCCCAGTAAATACAGAGCTAAGCAAGAACACGACTCTTCTAGGGCAGGAGTCAGAGCACTTGTCTCAGAGCAAGACCCTTTGCAGGTTCTCCAGGCTGGCTGATTCGGTTGAGGCTCTGGCAGAGTGCAGCATGCCATCAGATAAGGAAGTTGCCTTTCTCAAAAAGAAAGCTGCCATCATCAGCAGACTCTTCCTGAACTCTGATGTTCCCCCCAAGCTGCGGGTAAGACGTTGGGATCCGCCCAGGAAGGCTGAAGGCTTCTGGTGGCTCGTTGCTCAAGAGCACTGCCTGGCAGCTGCCAGTGGTTTTGGGGAGAAGGGGAACCAGGCAGAGGTTTGGATCTACTCCAAACAAGTCAGGTGTGAAGCTTCTGAGCATGCCCTGGAGTTTGAGACCTCCACTTGGGCTCTATGGGGTGGGAACTGATCCACCCTCAGACCCAGATGGATGGAGAACAAGCGTGTAGACAAGGAGATGGTGAAACCCCCTACCTGCTGGAGAAATTCCAGGGCTGAAACATGAAGATGGGTGCTGCACTCTGCCTATCTTCCCTTTGGAAAGTGCAGCCTAATGCCTTCCACAGAAACCCAGGGGTCAGCCCATTCCTGTACCTGGAGCAATCACCCAGCATGTAACTAGTATCACTCTTCTTGGTGACTGTTGAAAAGCCAGGTGGGGTCAGGGAGAGAAACATGCCTCTGGGACCCATCAGAAGTACCACAAACTTAATCCAGGTCTCTTCTTTGGCCAGGTAAACATCACTGAAGAAGAGAGAGATTTAATCTGGAGTTTATCATCCAAGGGGTTACTGAGTCGTGCCCTTTACCATAGGGCCAAGATCATCATCTTCCCTATTGTGATGCACTTCTGGAGAAGGTACCTGTCCCCCTCTCTCCCATGGTGGGGGAGGCTCTGTGGGTGCTTGCCTCTTCTCCAGCCATCTGCTCCTCTGACGTGATGGAAATGCAGATGAGACACTCCCCACGAGTTCAGCTGGAGGTGTTTGCTTGGAGCTTTGCTGTCTTCAATGTTTCTCATGCAGGTTCTGCACTTGGAAGGTGATGAGGACCTTTCCAGTCTTCAAGAAGAAGAAGGCGGCACCAATCTCTACACCCAGTAGGAAACCCTCTGAACCACATGAACTCTACAGCTCAAGTAAGAATAGTGCCTGTCCCCCTGCTCCACACCGGCCCTCAGGCTTGTTCTTCCAATGCAGAGATGTCCAGACCTGGGTTTTGTAGTGTCCCAGGAGGTTTCCCTTAAAAGAGCCAAGCTCCTTCCCTCAGGAGCAGGTGGTGCAGGACTACTAGAACAAGATGCATCTTGGAAACCATTCCTTCCTGTCACATTCACTTAAAACTGCCCAGCTTTATTTCTTTTGGGAACAGAGAAGTGGGTGCAGAGACCTCACAAGTTGCACAACTCTTGTCTACTTCGACCATCAAGTTAAAAATACTCTTGCACACACCCTAAAACAGAACTAGAGCAACTAACCTCTGCAGTCACAAGTCAGATGGGAGCAGGAAAAGGAGAAGAACCATGCAGCCAAACACCAGGCTCAGTGACATTACCTGGAGGATGCTTTTAGCATCTGGAATGGAGAATAAGCTTCATCTGGATTTGAGGTGACAATCACAAGGACATCTCTGAGGAAAAGGATTTTCCCCCCCCTTTTGCTTAGTTTCAATACACTGAATAACTCTAAACTGAAAGCTGCAAAGAGAAGGGTGCCAAGTGCTGTCAGTCTGCCTGACAACCTGGCTCCCTGGCTGAATATTCATTTGGTAATTGTCTAATTGATTTTTTATTAAAGGGGAAACCAAAATAGATACATTCTAATCTTGCTTTGATGGTCGAGTGGGTGTCAGCAGGCTGGTGTTCTGCTCTCTGTCATTTATCATTGACAAGCTCTGGTTAAAAATCAGATTTTTGATAGCTACAGGCAGGTGCTCAAGGCTGGGGTAACAAAACCCCAGGCTGGTGTGTTCCAAGACTACCAAGACTGTGATATTCCTCCCATGGACACCAATCCTGCTGTGAATGTCCCTGGGACAATCCTCCCCCAAGCCACAGCTCCCTGTAGCAGCCTGCAGGGATGAATAACCAGAGCCATGCAGAATAAAATCCCCCAGCTCAGGTGGTGTAAGGGAGGTGTGATGATCCCTCAGACCTGTCTGGTTCCTCCTGCCCCAGCCTGCCTGGCACATCCAGCCTGGCTGAGGAGGACGGGAAGAGCTCCACACATGTGGTGTGGGACAAGCTGGCTCCTGCTCTCCTTTGCCTGCCAACCCACCAGCAGCCCTGGCTGTCAGGGAGGAGCAAACCAAACCAGCATGTAACCCCAAAATAGCTGTTTGTGGCTTCCCTAACACTAGCGCCACCTTTTGCTTGGGACACTTTTCTGTGCCCCATCACACTTGCACCTCAGGAGCTCACTTTTCTGACCTCCAGATAAAGATCTTGCTTTCCAGCTGGGAAAAAAAATAAACAACAACCAAACACCAAAACTGGTGTCTTTAAAAGGCACTAAAATTGGCTGGGAAGGTGCCAGGAATAGCTCCACCTGCCAGCACCAGGCGTCACTGTGGTTCTGCTTTTGGACAGAGCAGAGAGTCCTGCTGCTGCCGGACACCCTGCCTGCACATTCACCCCGTGGGCATCTCCTGGGATGCTCCACCCTGGGATGCTCACCCCATCAGCTGCTCCTGGGAGATGCCACTCGTGGGGGCACAAAGCCAGGAGCTTGTCTGTGCACGGGGGGCACACGCCTGTCCCCTCCAAATTCTCATCTGCCAGCCAGAAGCCTGCAGCAGAGTCAGGGTGGGACATGTCACCCCTGCCCTGCAGCCCCCCAGACAGCTCTGGGGACCTGGGTGACTTGTGTCCACCCTTGCTCAACCTCCGTGGGATCCAACAGACACACAGCACTGCTCCCCTTCTTCTCGCTCACCAGGCAATCACACCATCATTGTCTTCACACTCTTGAAAGGTGTCCAGGTCCTGCTGCCACGGTCCCACAAGAAAACGAACCCACTGGAGGAAAACAACGGTGAGCCAGGGCAGGAGGAAAAGGGGGAGCTCCAGCTGCCAGGCTGGGAGCTGGGTGTTCAGTCCCTGGTGAGAAGTTTGAGCACCTTGTTCTCCCCAGAGACAGAGAAAGGTCTGGATAAAAGGAGGTCATCCAGCAAGGCATCCTCTCACCTCATGGAGTAGGTAGGTGGTGATGGAGGCAGCCTGACCCCCCCAGGCCACCTGGAGCAACAGAGCTATGACCCCCCTTCATGCCCAAAGACCAGCTGGGTGGGTGCCTCTGCAGGATGCTGCTCACCCCTACCACCTCCAGTAACATGCACAGAAAACCCACAGTTGCTGCCCCTCTCCACACCCTAAACAACCCCCTTGGAGCTGCAGTGTTTGCCTTCCATCACCTGCACCACTGATGCAGCATCTCTCCCTTCCCTGCAGGGACCAAGGGAATGCCAGGCCTCCAAGGAACAACACACCTTCTAATGCACCTTCCACGCCCAGCAGGACAGGGGATGTGCTCCAAGGAAGATGAACAGCTCAGACATGCTGAAGTTTGCACTCCATCAGCAGCAAAGACCTAAAAATAAAGCAACTCACAAGCATCCCCCAGCTTGCCTGGTAACATAGCCCAGCTTGCACCTCTGCAGCTACTGCAGGGATGTGCCCCAAGGGGTGTTTCCACTCCAGGAGGAGTAACTCTTGCCCTCACCACAGCCTCCTTCCTCATGTGTGTCTGAAAAAGACTGGGTGCTTTGCCTGAGGAAGGGGCCCCTTAAAGCCCACCCAGCCCTGGGAGCTGCCCAGGGAGCAGCACCTCTCCCTGAGAGCCAGGATTGCTTCCACCTGCTCGGTGGGGCTCACAGCCTGGGAGCTGCTCCTCAGCCTTCACCACAGTTTAAACACCTCCTGGGGGGTGCCAAGGCTAAGGGAGCCCACCCAGTTTACTGCTCCACTCTCCCTGCATGGTGAGATGATGCCTGTCCTTGCCAGAGCCTCTCATGTTCCCACCAAACTCAGCTCCTGACTCAGGGACTCAGCGTGTTTTGTTGGGTTTGTTTTTAAAGCCAGGACATTTGCAAAGCACTAACCAAATAATCTCTAAAGACCTTCGTTTTCCCCAGGTGAACCTGAGTCAGAGTGGCTTTGGCACATCACCAGGAAGCTGCAGGAACTCCCAGTGTTCTTTGGACCTCATGAAGAACAGGCCGTGGCTGCTGACAGCTCCCCCAGCAAGCTCTCACCTTGGTGATTCCGAGCTGGTTTTACCTACCCTTTTAACCCTCAGGTAGATCCCAGAGGGCTGCATCCTGGGAATAAACATAGGTACCCATGAGGCAGACAGCAACATGTTTCATGTTTGTCACTCATGGTCCCTCCCAAACCACTCTGTGACAGCAATGCTTTCCTTCTGAAGGATCTGAACACCAAACAAGCTCAAAGAACACTTCTATAAGCAAAGGACTCAGGAAGTTGATGCCACTCCTGCCCTCTGAGCTGTGACCAGCTCCTCAGAAGTGCCCTTGTGCTGCAGCTTGATTTTGCCCCAAGCACTCTCTGTGCTTTGCACAGACACTTCAGGCTCTGCAGCCTGAGCCTGGTCCCTAGAAGGCTTCACTGAGGCACCTGAGGCTCCTCACAGCAAAACTGCAGCTAAGAGGGATCTTCACACCACTGCTTCTGTGCACTTACGTTTGTTTGGTTTTTTTCACTCCAGTGCAGCAGATGAAAGCCATTGACCCTGGGGCCATCCCTGTGCACACAGGCATCTCCTCAGCACCTAAAGGATGGGGAGCACCTGATCCCATCAGGTCAGGTGGAGCCCCTGGGGTCGGCCAGCAGGAGCAGAGGAAGAAGGCAGAGGCACAGCAGATACAGAATGGACAGCTGTGACAGCAGGGGAGTGAAGTGTGGAGGCAAAGTCAGGCTGCCCTCGGGCACCAGGCATGGTCTGCTGCCTGCACTGACGAGGCAAAGGCTCATGCAGGTTCAGATGGATTCTGGAAAGGCTTCCAGATGGGCTCTGATGCTGGGAGCCATTAGCACATCAGGCAGCACTAACTCTGCAGCTGGCTCTGCCCCTGGCTGCCTAGAATGTTCTCACCCCCAGGCTGAGACAGAAGGCACTGCCATACCACCCAGCTGCTGCACTGTCCAGATGTCTTTGCCATTGTTTTTTTTGTCCTGCTGAGCACTCACTCATCCTCCTCGACCCTGCAAGGAGGAGAGGCAGCCTGGTGTTCTCCCCAGTCCAGTAGCCCAACTCTTCTGGTCCCAGTCCTGCAGTCCCACCTTTTACTGGGGCCCGATGCTCCGTGAACAATCAGCTGTGCAGATGCTGTGCATGGATCACCTTTCTCCTCTGATACCAACCTGCTGGCACCTCTGGCTTCTCAGCAAGTAGGACATGGCCCTGCAGACCACATGAGCCTTCCTTGGAAATGCTTCCCAGCAGCCTGATTGCCCCAGAGAGACAAGCCACAGCCTCCATGGGTTTAATCATTGATCTGCTTTTTGGATAGCCTTGAGTTCCCTCTGAGCAAGTCCTTTCCACAGCCTTTGAAGGCTGCCAAGCCACTGCACCAGAGTGGAACAATGCAATAAGATGCAAAGGTTAAAGCAAGCTGGAAACGTGGTGTTTTATGAGGTTGAAGGAGCCCAGCCCATGGCCTCCCCTCTCCTGGTGCAGGAGCAGAAAGATGCTGCTGCAGCACAGAGCCATTGTGCTCCCCACTGCTCCCCTGCTACAGGTGTCCTCCTGCTTTCTGGCCATGAGAAAAAGAACAAAAAAACCCCAAAAACCACAAGGAGGAAAGGAAAAAAAATAAAAGTATTGCCACAAGTGGAGCTGACATTCTTCTGTGAGTGTTTTCTCTTAATGGCACCTCATCAACAGCTGCACAGCCTTGCAGTTACACTTCTGCAAGTTCAAAGCTTCCCAGGACCACTTGCTCTGAGCCAGGAGCACTGGACAGGCTGGCACAGGAACCTCAGGAGCCCCCAGCACATGTGGGCCCCACTGATGTGTCCTGGCAGGCCAAGCACAGCCTGCCCCAGAGCTTTACCTACCCATCAACATGCACATGCAAACAGTGCTGCTCATCTTCACACCTCAAGTCACCCAACTAAATCCTCACCCTCACAAAAACAGTGCAAATCTCCCCCAAGTTTAGCCCATTATTTCACAAGAGACTCCTTGCTTCCCAGGACAGGAAGCTTTCAGTGCTCCTCAATATCTTTTCCCATCAGACACCCACATGGGCCAGAAACAATTCATGTGAGCAGTGCCTAACCACCCACTACCTTCCCTAAACAACCAAGAGGCACAAGTAGGACAAAAATGGCAGGTTTTGGGTATTTGATAGTGCCACAAACTATCTCTTTGTATACAGAGGGGATGGAGGAACCTCATTTCTAAATAGCAAGAGTCAGTTTTCCAGGCAAGTTTATTCCAAGTTTGGTTCTCTGTAGGCTAATTGAAAGAATAACAATCTCCATCTGAAAAAAGAAATAAAAATTAAAGATCCTTTCAACAGCTGAAAAATATTTCTGTAAGCAACATAGAATCAGTGTGCAAATCAGAGCCTTAGCCAAGAAACAAACCAGCCCTTGGACAATCAGATGCACGTTCATTGCACACTGGGGGATTTTGGAAAATAGGTTTGTGCTGCCCAAGCATCTAATATCAAAGCTCTGAGCTGGCTGGGTGGTTCCAGCTCAGTGCCAGGGAGGTGAGCCTGGCAGGAGGGCAGTGATGGTCCCCTGGCAGCACTGCTTTGGAGAGAGGGAGTGCTTGTGGGGAGCCTTGCAGCCCCAGCCTGCAATGGCAGAGCTTGAGCTTTCCAAGAGGAACCAGTGCCTGCAGTCCCTTTGGCATCAGCCACCTTTCTCAGGTCAGTCAGGACTGCTCACAGGAGCAGAGTTGTGTGGGATTGTGCTCCTTACATCCATTCCTTGTGGAAAGATCTCCTGCATCCCCCAGCTGAAGCTCTTCAGGTCCCAGCAGACCATTGCTAAAGCACCTCATCTCCTGGCTGCTGTGTTTCAAAAAGACTGAAAAGAGAGAATCCATGTCTTTCTTGGGGTAGATGAGCAGCTCATCAGTGCAAGGAAATGTTTGCCCTAGCAAGGATCTCAAACTCCTTTATCAAGAGAGTCTCCAGTTGTTTGGCTACTGCTGAACTCTTCTCCTGCCTCCCCCACGTGTTGAATCTGCGAGGACTGTCTCACATCTCTCTGCTTTCTGTAAGGATTAGGGTCTTGATCTCCACTTCAGAGACTGATAAGGCCAGGAGGACAGATGCAGTCAAGGGGGACCTGGGCTGGCACTCAGCATGGCTCTTCTCCAAAGCTTGTGGTTGTTACACCAAACACTTATGAAGCACCTTTCATTTCTTACCCTACGTCCTCCACGCTCTGTCCCTGTAGGTGTTCTCTCCCATCCCCTTACCCACATCCTTCAACTCTTTTGCAGATGAAAAAACAGGGAACAAAAAGAGGCAGTGATGGTGGCTTCAGACATGGGGTATGAGGCAATGAGGTCCTACAGAGAAGGGTCCTGAATGTCTGCAAGGTGACAGTATTTGGGATTCTGGCGTAAACTCTTGTAGGCGTAAATGGTAAGTTCTGGAAAAGTCTTCAAGAAATACTCAGCATAGTCTCCTATTTTCTCACTGATGCTGAAAGAGAACAAAACCAAAATGGCTTTCTAAAGCTTGCCCAAGGATTCAGCTGTTCAGAATGCCCTGGTTCCTCCCTTGCAGAGAAAAACCCATTGCAGAGGCTTCCTGAGAACACAGGAATGTTACCCAAGAAACCTTTGAGCAGCAACTTTTCTGTACCTTCCCTAAACTCCTCAATTTTTTTCACTACTCCCCCGGCACTTCCATCTCCCTGATCATAACCTGCATCTTCACTGAAGAGCAGTACTGGCCACCAGCCTCAGTGGAACCATCCCTTGGAGTTAACATCACCCCTAGCCTCACATCTAAGTGGCCATGACTGTAGAGGGTTGGAAAATCTGGAAGCTTTTATTGAGTCAAGACCTCCTAACAGGACCAGTGCTTCCTGATCCATATCTCAAAGCACTTCAGCACTTTGGAAATACTTGCCTGGTAGGTAAGAAGGCTTTTCATCAGCATAAAGGATGCTAAAAATATTTGAGTCATCTAAAAACCTTCCTCAACAGCCTGCAGCCAATAAACAACACAACAGCTGAGAAGGACACATTCATTATGTCCTCTTCTGTAGAGCACATGGTTGTGTTTACCCTTCTGGAAAACCATCTGAAGAAGATTCTGCTGTCAAACTCACTGACACTTGCAGATACCCAGATGGTCCCTGCAATGCAGCTGTGGCAGGGGTGAGGGAGTGGACAGGTACCTCTCATTTGGGTGTTCATCCAGGTTTCTCATCAGCCTCAATAGGTCGATGATGCTGTCGCCATATACGAATGGTCTTCCTTTCTTAGGATTTTTCATGACCTTCAGAACATCTGGATCAATCTGAAAAAAAGCATGTGGATTATTGTCTGCCATTCACACACCAGGAATGAAACACCTTTGAAGATTTGACATCTACTTCTGTAACAACCATCCCCTACTACCAACCCTGTCAACAGAACCTTCCTCTAGCATCAATGTCTTCAGTCTGGTGGGGCTACTTGGCTTAGATTTGTTTCCTCCAGTTATCTCAATTTGTGTGGGGCTCCTTTTCCAGTTACCATTTTAGACAGGGCCTGTGAAACACTCAGGAAAAGCTTCTGCCTGAAAGTCTACCCCAAACTTCACATCCAGCCCAAGAGAAGAGGATTACCTTCTTGGTCCACGAGTAAGGAAAACATGCAGCAGCCTCAAATACAGCATTTCTGTCTTTCCAGTTGTAATCTTTGATTTTATTCCATATACCCTTCAGGAAGTTGAACCTGCTGTGGGATGAGGAGCTTCATTAGCTGCAAAAGGACGTGACTGTTCCCAGCACTCCGGGCAAATCCTGTTCCAAAAGTTTTCCCTTTGTACACCCAGCACTTACAGCTGCTTGCTCCAGAAATAGGGATGTTTGCTCAAGCCTTCCAAGCCTTGCTCATCATGAGACCTCAGGTTTTCTACAAGGTCCAGGGCCTCCCAGTAATCTGGGGAATGAGTATCCAAATCCTTGGTACTGACTTGCTGAAAGGGTTTCCTACCCCCTGCTAAAACATACAGCACGAGGTCGCTGAGGGCCTGCAAAGAGACACATCACTGCTCAGGGGCCTGGAGAAGGGGGCTTCTTCCAAAAAGGAAGAGGATTAGCATGCCAACATCAGCAGACAGAGGAGACAGGGACCACAGACAGGTTCCCAAGGGATCTGTGGGCCTCCCAACACCAGCCACAGCCTTGCACCCTAAGCACCATCATTCTTATGATGTTAGGAATAAATTCTTCACTGGGAGGGTGGTGAGACCCTGGCACAGGTTGTCCAGTGAAGCTGTGGATGCCCCATCCCTGGAAGGGTTCAAGGAGGGGGTTTGGAGCAGCCTGGTCTTGTGGGAGGTGTCCATGGAATTGGGGTTGGAGCTAGTTGATCTTTAAGGTCTCCTCCAACCCTAAACCATTCTGTGCTTCTATGTTGCTTATGCAGTACCTATTGCATTATGGGCTTTCCCAAAAAAAATACCAAGTTGAGGATGTAGAAAGGCTTCCCCTAGGATTCACAGCAACAGAAAATATCATGAAGTGCCTGAAATTTCAAACCATATGTTGATTTGCAAGGAAGTTACCTCTAAATCTGAGTTTACAAGTTCTTGTTCACCTTCGATCAACCTTCTTTTATTATCCAAGTCTGCCAGGTAAATCTTGCCACCTAAATCTGAGGACATGAGAAAAATTGTTAACAAATAATGGTGGAAAAACTTAATCCAGTCTGCCTTTGACTTCTGGATGGGCCCTTGTTCAGAAACCTGTTCTCTGAAGAGATCTGCTGTGGGCTGATCTGTCTGCAGAGCCCTGGGAAAGAGGGCAGATCTAATGAGATGCCTAAAGCTGTTCTGCTCACTCCTCTGAGGCTGATCTGTGAACCCATCTGTGTTACTCAGAGAGGAAAGCTAATGCCACAGACACCTCATTCTGCATGAAGGCAACTGCAATGAGGTTTTTTGGGTTGGTTTTTTTGGTTGGTTGTTTTTTGGTTTGTTTTTGTTGTTTGGGTTTGGTTGCTTTTTTTACAGACAGCTAAGGAGCATCTTCCTCTTTAAACTACAGGCACCAGGAAAGCAAAATGAAAAAAAAAAAAAAAAAAAGAGTGTGAAACCAGAAATTAACCTATGAGGAAGTTACTGGGATGCAGATCCTGGTAAGCATATCCAAGGGAGTGCAGCTCTCTCACTGCCTTGAAGATCATCCTCAGAGCATCCCTGTAATCCACTTGGTCTTCTGATCCCTGTAGATGTTCTTCAAAGTTTCTCTCCCAGAGGGGAAAGCACAAGTACATGCAGCCTCTTGCCTTCTCAGCCTGGAAGAGCTTCAGCAGGTGCTCACAGCTACGACATTGTTCAAGGAAGGCTTTCTCTTTGTCACCCTCTGTCCTTTGGATTATTTTCACTGCTACCTCCGTCCCCCCGTGGAGCCCCAGGTAGATGCCACCCTGGGAAGTGCTCTGAATTCTCTGCTGGATGAACTGAAACACCTTCAGTTTGCCAATCATAGGGCGATACATTTTGTAAAGGTTCTTCAGCTGGTCCCTCCAGCACTTGCTGTCTGGCTCCCAGTCTTCAAGGGTTTCTTGGACAAACTGGGTTTTATACTGTTGGAGAAGACAGACCATGTCAGGAGCACGTTTCCTGTTTGCAACAGCAATGAGGTTCCCAACATCAGTCCTTGCTCCTTTCTCACACAGGAACTTGGCTATCTTGCAATCCCTTTTCTCCACAGCCACCATCAGTGCTGTGTTGCCCTCCTTGTCTGCATCATCAATATCTATCTCACCCTTCTCCAGCAAAGCTTTCACCAAATCCAGGCTCCTCAATTCCACGGCCAGGATGAGGGCAGTTTTCCCCCCTTCATCTTTGCTGTTCACATCCACGCCCTGGTCCAGCAGGAAGCTGCCTATGGAGATGGAGGCAGCTGGCTCCTTGTCCCTCTCATGGTCCTCCTTCAGGGCATGGATCAAGGCGTTCCTGTCGCTGTTGTCACAAAGGTTCACGTCAGCCCCCATCTCTTGGACAAGAATCTTGACCACTGACAAGTGGCCCTTCTTGCAGGCATCCATCAAGGCTGTCTCCCCTCCTTTGTGCAGCTTCGCCTTCTCCTCACTCACTTCCCTCCTCAGGTTCACAGCTGCTCCTTTGCTGTGCAGGAACTTCAAGGCTTCCTCCTTCCCATACCACGCAGCCTCCATGAAAGCTGTGAACCCGTTGTTGTCATGGTCATCAATATCTATCCCACAACGAAGGAGGAGCTTCAGGATGTCCACGTTTCCCACCATTGCTGCCTCAATAAATGCGGTGCCACCGTTGTCCTTCCTGGCATGTGGACAAGCACCCTTGTCCAGCAGAAGCTGGACCAGCTTCAGACTGTTAGCTTGCACAGCACTCTGCAGTGGTGTCCAGCCAAAATCTGCTCTAAAGTTCACATCTGCTCCTTTCTCCAGCAGCTCCTGCACGTGTTCATTATTCCTGGTTCTCACAGCAGTGTGTAACTTGAGGCCAAGGTCTTCTGCTGTCTCCAGGCTGGAAGGGGTAGATGCCTCCTGCTGGCTGTGAGCCCTGGGCTCCATGGTGCTCAGAAGAGGGCTCTGTGTCTCTGATGCTCCTCCCCTGAGCCCAGGGATCTCAGCAAAGGGTGGAAGAGGTGCAACCCTCAGTGCCTTCGTTGTGAGGGATGCTCTGGGTTTGGCTGCTGGAACATGCCAGGAAGGTAGGCTGCTATATTCAGGGCTTTGTGGTCTTCACCTAAGTAATAAACAGAACACCTTGTTTTATTAGGCTGTGAAACCTTGCCATTTAGGCATTTGATGTCCTGCAGTTCTGTGTGAGAGGCAGCTAAGGACAGCTGAGATCTAGGGCCTGGCCAGCACAACTTCTGCCCCCACCAGACACACGTACCCACCACGTCTGCTTGCCTGGTCTCAGCACCATTCACAGGGGTCCCCTGGGGCATCTGGGTCTGTCTCAGACTTACTAGATGTTACCTAATTAGCCAGCTCCTGGTGGTGTTTTCAGGCAGAGATGGGCATTCCACTCCAGTTTTGGATGGCAGCAACACACATGGCCCTGGAAAGCTCCTGATCCCATACCTGGAATGGGACAGAAAGCTCACCTTCATCCCTCCTGTTTCCATAGGTAATGATGAAATGCTACCAGACCACAAGCCTTTCCTAAGCTTTTCAAGACAGTGCCCATCAGGTAGCCCCTGATCTATCTGTAATTACCCACCCTCTGGGACTCCAGCACCCATTTTCCTGCCTCCAAGGTGGGATCCAACTACCAGTGCTTTCTGACAAGCTGGACTGGAAAGAAATGATCCAAGCAAATCACAAAAGGGGCAGAGAAGTCCTAAGGTACAAAGCCCAAGTATAAATTTGCATGAATTTGCCCTCATTTTGGTGCATTTTCTGGCTGGTTTCTACACACACACACACACACACTCACCCCACCCAGCAGAAAGTGAAGATCTTATTTCATTCATTTAGATGCATTTCATTTCTGTGTAGTAACCTCTATACCTTTAATAAATAGTAATAATAATGATAATAATAATAAAGTTACTTTCCTGGCTGGAAAAAAGCAGCACTGCCTCATCCCCTGGACATGATGGGTCTTCCAATTCCTGGGCTCCGTCAGGCAGAGGGAAGCTCAGCACTTTCTTCCTGCTCCAAGCAGTGGAGTCACCAGTGCCCGCCCCAAGGAAATGTCTCATGGTTCCTGTCCTGCCCCCCTGGCTTCGGGCCGGGAGCTGCTCCCCGACAGTGCCAAGTGCCCTGCCCGGCGTGGGAAGGTGGGGAAGGGGCCCCTCTGCCCAGCTGCTCCCAAAACGCCTTCCCAAAGGAGAATCACACAGAATCCCAGGGGCTGGAAGGGACCTGGAAAGCTCCCCCAGCCCAGCCCCCCTGCCAGAGCAGGGGCACCCAGAGCACATCACACAGGAACGTGGCCAGGGGGGTTGGAATGTCTCCAGAGAAGGAGACTCCACAGCCTCTCTGGGCAGCCTGGCCCAGGGCTCTGGCACTCTCACACCAAACAAGTTCTTCCTGAGATTCACATGGAACCTCCTGGGCTCCAGTTTGCACCCAGTGCCCCTTGTCCTGTCACTGGACATCACTGCACAAAGCCTGGCTCTGCCCTCCTGACACTGCCCTGAACAGATCTGTAACCAGGGATGAGGTGGCCCCTCAGTCTCCTCTTCTCCAAGCCCAACAGACCCAGCTCCCTCAGCCTTTCCTCAGCAGGGAGATGTTCCCCTCCCTCCAGCATCTCTGGGGCTCTGCCCTGGACTCTCTCCAGCAGTTCCCTGTCCTTCTGGAACTGAGGGGCCACACGTCAGTTTCACAACATAAACTAGCTGTCGGTTTATGGCTACTTCATCACTTTCATGTCACCTTCATTATTCATGCACCCCCCCCCCCCCCCCCAGCCACAAGCCCAGCTGCTGCCCAAAACCCCTTCCCAAAGCCTCGGAGCAGCTTCTCACACCCCCTTCACTTCCCAGCAAGTGTTCCCAGACATCCTTTGTTTCCCAAATCTTCAGGGTACTCTGTCCCCTCCCAGAAAGGAGCAGCCCTGGGTGCGTTTTATGGGGGGACACTGGGATTATTTATTTTAGGGGGGGGGAGGGGATGTTTGGCAGCTTATTTTTCAGCAGGCAGCAGAGAGGCTGTGAGCAAAGTGTCCTGGTGAGGTCCCAGGCACCCAGACCCTCTTCACCACCTCACACTCAGGAGCTGAGTCCTGGGGTCTTCAGAGGAGGAGGGATTTGGGGGTGGGGTCTTATTTTTTTTCCAGAGGGTGGGAGTTTGGGTTGGAGCAGGTTTTGATATTTTTTTTTTTTTTAATTTATTTTTTTTTTTGCTTTGTGGGGTTTTTTCTTCTAATTTTAAGCTTCTCCTCACCTTTTGGTAAATCCATCCTCCCAAGGAAACCAGCTGTGCTGCCCAATTTCACACCCAGGGATCCACTGAGCTCCTGATCCATTTCCAGCATCTTCCTGACCACCAACCCCAGGCAGCAGCTTCCTTGGAGGCAGCTGCAAACAGCATGTGCAGGAAACACATGAAGGAGCCCAGGTTGGACATGCTACCCAGTATTTCCCCCACACACACCCCCCTGCATGGGCTCCCCAGCATGCAGAGCCCCTGAAGCCTCCCCAGCCACCTCCACCCAGCCCTGAGATTCAGACCACACTTGAAATGGGGCTAAAAGTGCAGCAAGGAACCCACACCCAGCTTGCAAAAATGGGATGTGCAAAAACTGGGCCAAGGGATGTGTGGCTGGAGTCCCATTGACATTCATACCCAAATCCCCAGGTATTCCTGTGCTGCTTGCTCACACCTGCACACTAGCCTTCACAAAAGCTTTGCCCATGCAGGACTCCTGTCTCTGTACCCAACCATCCCATTGAACATCCTGCTTCCCACGTGCTGCCACCTCTGGATGCAGTTTCACAGGGTTTGTGTTGCCTCAGGAGACCTTCACGTGGCCCCACGGGGAGAAAGACCATGAATATTCAGGGAACAATCTCAAACCACTCTCAAGGCCCCATTTTCGTTCGCAGGAATCCACAGAACTTGACAACATTTCTGCCAGTTTAACCAGAGCTGGGGCTGCTGGTGTTGACCACCCATTTTCAAGCTGGAAAAGAGATGACCCAGCTCAGCAGGGACACGTCACAGGCTCAGGGCCAACAATAAGGACATTTTTTTAAAAAAGTAAGTAGTACAACACATAACAATAGCACCTCACCTAGCCACCCAAGTCCAAAAGCCTTCAGCTGGCTGATTTTAATTAGAGCAGCTCATTATCTCCTGGTGGGAAGATGAAACCCTAGGATAGTGAAACCCAAAGGTGTGGCAGAATTATGTGTGTTCACCACCAGACAAGGATTTCCTAATAATGCCTTTCCTACCTCACATCCCTGACCAAAACTCCTTTCCAGAGTCCCACATTTAAACCCTCAGTTTCTGCAACAAGCAATTTATGGTGAATACAAGGGCCTCAAAGGTCTTCTAAAGCATGGGAAGCACAGTTCTCCTCTCCACAACCATCCCTGTAGCCTCCAGGCTGTGCTTGGACTTTGGCAGAGTCCTTACTTGCCCCCCAGCACACAGGAATTCAGGACATGGCCTGCTGAGACACAGTCAGCAGGGAAATCAAGGGCACAATGAATTTTCCTCTCCCTCCATCCTGATGAACCTACACCCATTCCTGCAACCCTTTCCCTGAGATACCATTTCCAAGCACCCACGCCCCGACCACCAGCCACAACCAGACATGAGCTTAAAACACAGCAGCAAAAACTGCCTGCAGAAGTCAAAATCCTTTTAAAAGTGGCTATGAATAGCAGGATGGCTTGTTTTCTTCATGTTCCCTGCTCTTGCTTCCTTCTTAAATTTCCAAGTGGGAATATCCCAGGGTTTATGTGCTTGGCCACTCTGATGTGACCTTTCGTGCTGGAACACAGCCCTGGAAAATAGTCCACAAAAGGATGTGGTTGAAACACAGACAGGTGGTGCTACCCATGGCAGAGCTTTCACTTTGCCATGAGGTGGTTTTACATTTTTTACCTGCATTTCCCAGGCTCTAGGGTTGCAGGAACAAGCTGGAAAAAAAGAGGAGAAGGCACCAGTGCAGTAGGGAACCTCACCAAGCAGAGCATCATGTCCTGGGCAGGGAGAAGAAAGCATGTCCACCAAAAGCATCCTAGATCAGCCAAAACAGATCAAACAAGGAGCCAGGCTGAGGACATGAGCTTAAATGCATGTCCTCAGCACTGGAGGCAGCTCCTCAGCAGCATTTCTCCCAGCTGCTTCTCATCCCGTGCTTTTCCCCAGGAGCTAAGCCCTGTACCAGGCTGCAGCTGTGCCAGATCAGAGCTGAGATCCAGCACCTGCAGCCCAGCCCTGGGGGTGGGACAGGAGGGCTGCAGAGCCTCCCATGGAACCATGGAATGGCTTAGATTGGAAGGGACTTGCAAAGTCATGTAGTTCCAACCCCCCTACATGGGCAGGGACAACTTCCACTGGACCAGGTTGCTTCAAGCCCCATCCGACCTGGCCTTGAACACTTAAAAGCATGAACATTATAATTAATTTTCTCTTGGTTCCTGAGGGTAAAAATCCCTGCCTGCACCTGGATTGGCTTGGCAGCCTTGGCATTTAGCCACACACCTGGTGAGAGGGACACGAGCTGGATGGAAACACATCACACGTGATTTCTGGAGCTTTGTGGGAGCCAAAGCCACGAAGATGGAAGCTGCAGAGCAGGAAACTGTGCAGCACAGCTGCTCCCTCCCTGCCAGCAGGCACAGGGGCTGGCAGAGCCCTGCAAGACCCTGGGCAAGGCATTGGCAGTACTTGCAATGGTTCAGGGCAGCCCCTTTGCCCTTGAGCTGCCTGCAAAAAAACCCACATTTCAACTACATCTTGCAGCATTTGTTGGCAGACTGGCTTAAAAAAAAAGTTAAAACTATCAAACCAGGGATGTCCACACATGCAAAGACATATGGCTTGGCCTGCACCTGCCTGTTGTTCTGCACGTGCACCCATTGCAGTGAGGGAGCTCA